GGAGGATATTATCTTGGGCTTAAGAGAACTGAAAAGGCTTTCAGGGCATTTCAGGTAAGGAAAACAACTTGAATATTTCTGGCAGACAAGTACAAAAAAGGCATGTTCATTCATTCATTTGTTCATTTATTCTTTCAACAAATTTTAATTAAGCCTCCATCATGTGCCAGACACTGGGCTAGGTGCCAGAAATACAAAGAAAACAATCCCCACCCTCCAGAGTCTCACAATTTAGTGAAGAAGTAACACGTAAACAAATTTATAGCATACCATGTTAGAAATAAGTACAAGCTCTTTGGGAAAACTGAGGGAATACTTAGCTCTGTCTGGGAAGATAAGGGAAGGCTTAAAAGAGGATGTGATCCCTAAACCTAAAGGCTGAGCAGGAAGAATTCACCAGGCAGATCAGGACATTACATGCAAGGGAAGTGCATGTGTAAAAGCACAGCAGCAAGAAAGAACATGGTTCTTCTAATAGTGCGAACAGTTCAGAATGGCAAAAACAAAGTATGCATGTCCGTACTCAGTGGCAGGGGAAGAAAGTGTAGAAAATTGAGAGAGAGGATGAAAGTTGGAATGGAAGACAAGAATCAGATAACGAAGGGCTTTAATGAGAAGTTAAACTCAGCAAGTTTGTCAAAGTGTGGTCTGTGGATCACTTGCATCAGAATCATCTAGGGCTGAGATTTCTAAATTGTAGCTTGGGACCTACTGCTCATAAAATTAATTTAGTGGGTTGGATAGCATTTTCAAGGGAGGGAGGAAAGGAGGGAAGGAGGGAAGGAAGGAAAACAGAATGGGAAGGAATGGAATGGAACAGAGAATATACTACATGTAGTATGGGTATTATTGTACTAAGGGTATTGTTATAGTAAGGGTGTGGTATGTGTGCATATGTATATATTGATCAAAGAAATAAAATCTATTTTTCTATAGTAAGGGTGTGGTATGTGTGCATATGTATATATTGATCAAAGAAATAAAATCTATTTTTTTCTTTTTTTTTCCTTTTTGTCTTTTTTCGTGACCGGTAACGGGATTGCAACCCTCGTTGTCGCGCCCGTACCGCAACCAGCAACGGGATCGCAACCCTCAGTGTTGCGCCCGCACCACGCTCAACCAGTGAGCGGACCAGTCTCTATATGGGATCCGAACCCTCGGAGGGAGTGCCACCGCGCTCCCAAGCGTCACACTCTACCGAGTGCGCCACTGGGCCGGCCCTAAAATCTATTTTTCATTGTGGGTCACAGTCAAAGAAGTTAAGAAACACTGATCTATATGCTTGTTAAAATGCAGATTCTCAGGCCCCATGCCAGACCTATCAAATGAGTGGGAACGTGGCCTGGAACCCATATTTTTAACAAGTACTAAGGGATTCCTAGGCACATTCAAATTAAGCACCATTGCTGAAGTTGATTAGGAGCCACCAAAGGACAGTAAGCAGAGTTCTGGAACAATCATATTGGTTTCAGAAGGATTTTTTTGTATGCAGAGTATATAAACTGCTTGGAGGGAGATCAAGAATAGAGGCAGAAACATAAATTTAGAGGCTATCAACAATGGTCCATGTTAGGGGCCGGCCCGGTGGCGCACTGGATAGTGCGCCGCTTGGGAAGCGCGGCGGCGCTCCCGCCCGAG